TGCGTGACAAAGCGATAATCGCGGGTCTCCCTCCTACCAAGCGAAACGCGAAAAACGTGCATGTGACATTTTGCGCTCTTGCACGTGTCGTGCACAGGCGACCCAGCGACGCGATCCCAGAAAGTTGAAACATTTTCAACTTTTCATCGCTGTCGCTCGGACGAGGACCAATCAACGGAGGTTTCATTCACTGGCCAATGAGCGGACAGGATGCTCCATACATCTCCGAGCAAACATGGAGGAGAAGTTGATTATTATTATGTTTTATAGTAAAATCAGAAGTAAGATTTCAAATAACTCTAACAGCACCTTGTGAAACATCATATCTACCACTTTTTAAACTCTGAACCGCTTAAATAACCTTCATTCCTTCCAACCTCACACAGCCAAGCAAAACAACGGAAGTTTCCATTTCGCCATGGAACAGAACGCGTAGACGGCTTTGCCGCTGGCTGCTGCCGTGGATCGCCTCTCGTGTGTCAGGTAATAAAAGCGACAGCGGCAAATTTCGCTGATCGCGGTCGTTTGTCGCCTCCCGTGTGTCGATCCCATAACAGGGCTGATGATATCAGTGACATCCTGCAGAACAAAGTCATTTCCAGGCTGGTCTTATAGAAACACACTGCAGTGTGTGATGGTGGTATGTAGTGTGTGAAATGACCTCCCAGAGCTGCAGAAAGCAGCAGGTCTGCCCACTGCTTGTGCAGCACTTGTGCAGGCCTGCAGCCTGGTGAGCTGCTGGTGATGATGTCATCACACATGTTAAATTACCAGTGATGTTTAAAACCATTCATCTTTTGTTGCTTTTGGATAAAAATGACAACTTTCCATTCAGTAGGTGTAAATAAATACCACACCTGCCCAATAACCTCTTGACTCTTTTAATGGTTTCCCGTACATGAACACATGAATCTCCCCGTTTGCTCTGCCTTCTCACGGCGTCTTTCATGCCACCGTGTAAATCAGCACATCCGTCACCTCTATGCTAATGAAAGGACCTTATTATCACACATTTGGTCTCTTCCTGAAGACGGCGGTGGTGAGCCGCTCCCTGGTCCGGAGCCATCATTAACGGGCTGGTAATAGACGTGTAAACGGTAGACATTTTGACATATGAGAGTAGGAACAGCAATGGTGTAATTAATAACTTTTATAATAGCAGCTGCCACTCTGGTGCGACAGCTGTAGTTTCTTGGGTATGTGCACACTGATCACAGGCGTACTGTCCTGTGATCCTGAGTGGAGCCATTGTTAATTACACCTGCATTTTTCCTGCTGCGGCCACTCGTCAGCCATGAAAAATGCTGTCTGGGCAGCAAACACTACTACTCACTGCATTAAAAGTGTGACATGTCTCTACTGCTGCTCCAGCAAAAGCTGCAGACTCATTACTGAAAGTGTTGCATAAATTCTGAACCATTAAGTAACACCTAAGAAAAGAGCTGGATGGGGATGAAAAACTCAGAGGTGTGTCTTTGGTGTTTTGTTTTGAAAATACTTGACAAAGGTTGTAGCTCTCCAGTCAAACGTGTGGAAGTCCGTTCAAATATTACATAAACATAGAAGGTATTTATGTATATATTTATGTGTAAACACTGAATGGATCCCTTCCTAAACGACCCCTTTGTAAAGAAACAGAGTTAAGGCCCGAACACTTTCTCTTCATTTTTATAGCAGTTCGTGTTCTTTCATGAATATTTACACAAATGTCACATTTACGTTAAATGATGCTTTACGTGGATTCCATTTAATAAGTTACAGGCATAAAAAAATCTCTCAAATCTCTACAAACACGTAGCCTTTCTGGTTTCTGGCGTTTCATCCATTCATGTACTGAATCAGGGTGTAAGGCTTTACGAAGCACCGTTTAGGTGAACCTCAGGTCCGTTTAGGACAGCAGCGATCCACTGTGGGTCCATGTGGACGATAACGTCTAGCCAAAAAATGCCCACTGAATGGACACGCGTCTCAGATTACTGCTTCTTTCAGGATTAACACAATCCTTTTGATTCATCTGGAATTATCACTCAGCTTCATCTAGCTCACCCAGTTGAGCTAGCTTCTCGGTTTCCTCTGCCGTTGCCCGGCATTTGGAATATTTCCTAAAAGGAACACTCTCGTAGGACCTGATCAGGTTCCGTACATACGCATTTTTAGATGACGCTGGAAAACGCTCTGCTCTCCCTAAAGATTTATGTTTACTAACAGCCTAAACGGAACCCTTTGTTCACTCGTTCTGAGTCACCAGCAGCTTTCAACACAACCAATGAGAAGCCATGTGTGGTGTGAGGTCAGAATAAACCACCTGCTAGCAAATAAACATCAGATAAAAATGTCCCGTAAGAATTTATCTCTATTTTTTTTTTCTAATTTCAATCCTCAACTCTCATCATAATTTGTAAAATTTAAACTTTTACTCAGTGCAGCAATAAAATAGCTATCTTGGAAAGGCTAGCCAGAGATGCTAATACACTTTATTACAAGCTTATTCACACCTGCACTGATCCCTGCTGAATTTAGTCCTATATTTGTGTTAGAAATGCTAAACGCTTGTTTTCTGAACGTCTCGTTAGAGCAACATCACCCGGCTTTGAACGCCTCTCTGTTAGCATGACGAGACGCTCAGAGCTGGACAGTCGCGTGTGACCGCACGCCTTATCGCTGCTGCCATTTGGACTTGTCATGTAAAAGATGCAAAGAAGCATGTTGTGGTAACCATAGTTTTGTTCAGTCAAGTGGGACACTAAGCTGCAACCTGAGCCCACGTGCAACAATAGCAGGACACAGGAGCTAATCTCTAACAGCTAACTGATCTGAGTAGGAGGCTGAGTCTGCTGTGATGAACCCAACTAAAGCCCACCTACCGGACTGCTTTGGTCTGACGGAGCCTTTCTTCCATTTTTCACCAGGTCACCATTGCTGTGGGGTTAGCTGGCTTCGCTTGTGTCCTCCTACTTGTCCTTTTTGTTCTCATCAACAAATATGGCCGACGCTCCAAATTTGGTATGAAAGGTAAGCCTTCACACCTCAGAACGTGCACACGGGCTGCTGCTGCTGTAGCCGCTCAGAGCATGGTTAATAACTGATGATCACATTACTTTGGGGGTCGGTTGGATGGAGACGTTTCACCAAAACTGCACTACAAACTCTTTCTCTCTGCTAAAGTGAGACGAAGCCCTGAAAGTGTTTTCCAACAAATCCACCCGGAAAAATACTTTTCCGATTGGACATGTGGAGCGCTTCGATTGCTCTGAGTCGATATGGCCTTTTGGAAGCAACTTGTTGCTCCCCTCTGCAACAGAGCAACAGATCAATACCCCAGTAGAGTTACTATGCAGTCACAATAAATGTTCTATACGTTCAGCAGCTCTGCACAGAAACATCACGGCTCCAGAAATAATTAGAGCGCTTGCCTCTGTTGATAATTCAGAGAATTCCCACCAGATTAAAGTGCCTTTTTGTGCACGCCGAGCTTTCGTTCTGGGTCGGCTGCAGGCTTTGGTTGTCTCTGGTGATGATGGAGGAGAAAGCTGGAGGTGCACTGACGTGGAGGAGCAGCAGAACAGAGGGGAGACGACTCCTCCGGTGGTTCTGGCTGAAACATAATACATCTAAACACCGGCCGTAGGTGTCAGACTGACCCGGGATGGAACTGAGCTGACCTGGAGCTCGGCTGTGGTGTGTGTTTTGACCCAGACACGGAGGGGCTAGCGTTGGGTGACGACTAGGGACGTCAAATGGGAATGAACTTAAACGACACTCCAGGAAGTAAACAAAGACACTTGCTTGGGTAGTGGGTGGCTTCAGGTTGAGGCGAAAAGTGGATGGTTGGGCGCTCATGATCTGATTCATGAGGAACAATGACTGAGTGCTAGTTCCCGGGGGGGCTTCCATAATTATAAGATAAGGAAGTGACAGAGAAGAGTGGTGCTGGTGGAGGGAATGGTGGGTAATGGAGTCCACAGGGGCTGTGGAGCGGGACCTGTGACAGTATAGGTCCCGACAGGTCAGAGGGCCGAGTGGAGGCATTACATCATCTGCTGCTAGGAAGGAAGTGTGGTCCTTTTTGTACCACATCTCCGCTAAAGGCCTTGCTCGTATTTATTATATGTACTGATATCCCATCATGACTCTCGGACAGGGCCTGTTCTAGACGCTGTGTGAGCGTGTTAAAAAGCAGGAGCTGCTCCCACCTTTTAATTAGTTGTGTTAGAGGATCACATACTGTTATTTACCTCAGTAACAAACTCTCTGCTGTAATAATTTAGGGTGCCAATTACTGCATTGGCTTGAAGCTGGATCTAAACACAGATGGGTCTTAATGAGCCGCCGGCCTGCTTGTTATGTGGAGTTTACTTTTAGCTGTGCTAGCACACAGAATCCTGCGTGAAACAACAACAATCACACATCAGCCACGCGTTTCAGAGAAAAGAGCAGGTTACAAATAAGGAAGCAGGTTTATTTTAAGCAGCTGATTTGAGGCTCTGAGACGTTCTTGTTAAAGGAGATCTGCTTGTTAATGACGCAGAGGCTGTACCTTAAACTTTGTTATATCATTTTTATTTTGATTCAAGCACCTTTACTGGATTTATGTAACTAGATTTAACGTTTGCTGCTGCCACCCACCCACTAGCGCGAGCTGCTGTTGTGGGTTTTATTTAGTTCACCATCCGGTGTACGCAGCATCAGAGAATCAATAAAGATCTGGCTGTAAAACTCAGTCTGTCAGGAATCCGTGTAGCAGTGCTGCCTTATTTATTTATTTATTTTAAATATTTATTTATTCTCCATCAGAATCAAAGCAGAGGCAGCGCCTCGCATCACTTGCTCTGCGGAGCAGTTCTTGGTGCTCAAAGCATCTGCCTTCGCCGAAGGGTCAGGTCTTAAAACCAAACGCTGAACTGCACATTGGGGAGGAATGCAGATGATGTCAATGTTGAGATTTCTCTTGGGCTCTCGGATGTGATTGTGCATCTTTTATATTCCATTGTAGGGTGTTTTTTAATCCACACCTGTCCGGCTCAACTCATTCATTCTGGAAGACGTGTTAGGCTGCCTCACTTTGCTTACTCTTACTTTGTGAAGCGCCTCGAGACGACTCTTGTGGTGATTTGACACAATATAAATGAACTGAATAGGATTTGCCGTGGAGCACCATGCCCTTTTTATTCAAAAAGCTTGAAAATCTTTTATTTATTTATTTTTCTCATTGTCTAGCTGGCTTGTCTGGGGTAATGGGAAGTGTTATAGATGACTGTAGTGATGCGGAAAGAAGAAGCACCTCTGAGGTAATCACCAGCATGAGTCATCACAGCCAGAGGAATATGCCACTTTTTTTTTTTTTTTTTTTTTTTTTCTTCGTCTCCCCTCCCCCCTGTCACACCTGGTGTGGGTGTGATGCCTTGGTCTGCCTGAGTGTTCGTGGATCCCGGGTCAGGGAGTTTAAGATTTTTGGCATCTGCCTGATCAATCCCGGTGGCGGCCTGGGGGGGTCTGGGTCCCTGGGCTCTGCTGGGTCCCCGGCGGGGGTGGTCGCCCCTGGGTCCCGGGTCGCTGGGTCCCGGACTCGGCCGGCTAGGGGGTGGGAGGCTGCGGGCAGGCCTGAGGACTTGCCGCTGATATCTCCCGGGGCTCTGCCGGCTGCTGGTTGTGGCCCCACGGGGCGATACTCTGTGCCTCTCGAGGGGGGCGGGGGCCTTTCTGGTTGCGGGCTCCTTGGGGTTCCTGTGTTCTGGGGCAGCGCCTGGATCTCTGGGACTTGGAGCTCCCCCCCGTCTCCTACGCGTCTTTGGGGGGCAGATCTGTGGTCCCTCACACACTCTATTGGACGCTCCTATAGAGAAACCTTACATAAACAAGCGCGTGTACACACACAGGTGCTCACATGGTGCTCTCATAAGTATGGGCTTGGGCACGTTCAACACATGTCTTAAGACTATGGTGGGCACTCAATGCACTGTGGTATATTATCGTGTGACTGTTTAGTTAAACAATGATTGATTATATATTTCTTCATCAAGTTGACGCAGTGATAGCTTGATTTTGTTATATTGGTGTTGTGTCCCATTTTTTTGTTATGTTTTGCTTTTTTCTCGTCTCATTTTGCAGGTCTAGAAGCAGACTCTTGTTCATTATTGTTTATTTTTGTTGAATTCCCCCCCCCCCCCACCTAACCCCCTCTCTCCCCACCTTTTCTCTTTTCCTTTCTCTTTCACCTCTGTCTCCGTGTCTGGTCGAAATTACAAAGCATTCAAAAACAATAACAATAAAGTTTTAAATATCAGGTGCGACATTAAAAGCAGACTCTTTGATGCTCCACCTGAGACATTAAAAGCAGATGCTCTGATGCTCCACCTGAGAGTAAAACTGTAAGGCTTGTTACCAGCATTCAGACATCAATTCTGCTTGCTTCACAGCCAGACAGGACACGTTAAAAAAAAAAAAAAAAAATGCCACTTTTTACATAAATGTCTATTTTATTTTGAGCCTAGACAATCTGCAGCATAAAAAGTAAAAACGATCCCTCTCTGTGTTATTGCGGCAGTAATAATCAGCTTTGCAGCAGCGTGTTTGACAAGCTGATCAATATTACAGCCTGGTTTATAGTGCGCTGCCCAGCTGTGGCTGGAATGCCAGACTGTGGGTCTGTGAGCCGGGCCGGTTCAGATAGAGACACTTCTGTCCCCGCTGCCTCCAAGAGAGAAGGAGTGAAGAAGAGATCTAAAGAGAGGAGGTGATGTCAGTGTGGACGCTTTCGGGACCTCACACTGTTGTGAAGAAAGGCCTGATTTGTCCACAGTGTGTGTTTTCTCCTCCCACTCTGGTTCTGGAGAATCAGCTGGGAGGCTTGAAAAAGTCATTACCTTTGGATGGAGCCGTAATGGATTTTCGCTCCACTAAATCACCGTGGCTATTTTGGTTGTTGGACTTTGATCACCGACCGTTTCTAGGTGTCCAATAAAAAGTCTCTCTTTTATTCTTTTGTGTGTGTGTGTGTGTGTGTGTGTGTGTGTGTGTGTTCCATCCATCGCTGCTGTTCATGTATACCCTCTCAGTTTACGTGGACACTTGTCTTTTCACTAAAGAAAGCAAATCTACTCATTCTGTAGATCAGCTGTAGCACGCTAACCCTCCCAGCTAAAACATCGTCCAAGTCAAAGCTCATCTTTCAAATGATGATTCACGTCAGTGAGCTTTGAAGTGTCTTTCCCACAGATTTCTGTCAGCAGGGAATCAATAATGCTTCTTTTGAGGAAGAAACTCAGCATGTCAGTAATAAGCATTGTCCTCCCCGTCATCTTTTCTTAACAGTGTGTGTGTGTGTGTGTGTGAAAATCACCCCACCCCTGTTGCTGCAAGCGCAGCCTCTACAGCGAAGTGAGCCTTTTAGCAATCTTTTCTGTAAACCTGCCTGTGAAGGCAAACATTTCACCCAAACATCAGTTAGATGTGTTTAGAGACCGTTTCTGTTATGGACTCTTCTGCTGCGCCTCTTTTAATGACCTCAGATGGAAGAAATACAGACGACTTCTAGCTAAAAGCAAAACCGACTGTCTTTGGGCCTTGTCCCCAGGGGAAGTTTTTCTAAACATTTTATTCATCATAAAAAAGCACCATTTTAAAAAATGATTTATCCACACGAAAGCTCCCAAAATGATCCAGAACACTGTTAGCTAAGCCAGGCCTAGACTGTTGGTATGACCCACGCTCTAACACAATCTAATTATGTATCAGGTCAAGCAAGCATTAGTTTACAAATCCTTATCTCTACCATAAGTGTACATGTGACAGGTTTTTTGGCATAGAAGGCAATGGTTGCTGGTTAAAAACTGGGTAAATACATATACTGAACACCAGGGATGACCACATTTCTTAAGACAAGGGCCAAAATCACGAAGTTAAAACTCCTCATGGGCCACAAAAATTATTATGTTTCTTAAGAATGCAAACATTGTTTTATATTTTTAATTTGTTCTGCTCATAAAATCCATAAAATAGATATATTAGTAAAA